TCCGCCGGCGCCGGTGATTCACCTGTCCGCGGGGCGGGGCGCATTCACCTGTCGGGGCCGCGGTCCAGGCGCAGAGCCGAGCCGCACTGCGCAGGCGCGGGCGCTGGGCCCGGACACCCCCCCCCCATCGAGGGTGCGGCCTGAGCTCAGCCTGCCAACAGGTGAACCCAAGGGGGCTCAGGCCTAGGCCAAAGGGCACAGTGCACCCCATTCTCTGGGTCTAAAGTCACCCCTAAATCCACCCAGCCCCCCAGTGTCTTGTGTCTGGTAAAAGGGAACACGTGAATGAAACAGTGATGTGGGTACAGGGGCCACAGCCACGGCTGGCCGCAGCCAAGCGAGCCCCCACCACCCCAAGAACAATACACTCTCCAGAGGGTTCCCCTCCACCCCGACCATGTCTCGTTTTGTATGGCTAGGCCAAACCTGGCCCCTGGCACTCACCCCGGGAACCCCAGCTACTCAGGAGGCTGAGGTCTGAGGATCCTGATTTGGAAGCCAACCCAGGGCAGGAAAATCCATGAAGACTCCTCACCAATTAATCCCCAAAAAGCTGGAAGTGGGGCTGTGGCTCAAGTGGTAAAACACCAGCCTTGAGCCAAAAAGCTCAGGGACAGTAGCTAGGCCTTGAGTTCAAGTCCCAGTACAAGTACACACACACACACCACCGCCGCCACCACCAGAAAGCTGCATGCACTTGCCCAAGGAGGCCAGGAGCCCTGAATGGAAACTCAGCCCCCTCTGCCTCCTCTTGACTTTCTCCTGGAAGCTGCCTGCAAACCCCAACCTTCTCCCTTTCCTGCTATTATTGTTGGGAATCCTGCAGGAAGAAACTCTCCCACTTCCCAGATGCCGTGAAGTTCGGAGAGGTCAAGTAACTAGCCCAGGGTCACACAGACAGAAAGTGGTAGGCTGAGCTGGATTAAAGGCCTCTAGCACTAAATCCTGAGGTCTGAGGCATGGCTGACTGCCCCCCCCCGCCCCCCAAGGCTTTACTGAGTCAGTTACTGCATCAGTTACCGGGACCGGATGCAGGCCTAGCTGCGGACGCCTGTCATCCTAGCTACTCTGGAGGCTGAGATCTGACGATCGTGGTTCAAAGCCAGTCTGGGCAGGAAAGTCTGTGAGACACTGATCTCCAATGAACCACTCAGAAAAAGTGGAAGTGGTGCTGTGGCTCAAGTGGTAGAGTGCTGGCCTTGAACACAGAGAGGCTCGGGGACAGCGCCCAGGCCCTGAATTCAAGCCCCAGGACCGGCAAAAAGAAAAGAAAAGAAAAAGTGCTCTTCATTTTCCAAGGCGGACACTGCGACTTAGAGGGTTTATTCCTAGCTGGTTAGCCACTGTGTGGGATTTGAACCTGGGGCCAGACCAACTCCAGAATACACACACATACACACACACACACACCACCCCCACCCCCTCGCCCCCATTCTTCACCCTGCTTCATTCCCGGTGGGGAATCATGAGAAGCCACCCAAGCCGCACACATGGAAGCGGCTGCGAAAAAGCAAACCCTGCACGGTGGGTGAAGACACAGGAAGACACATGCTCCCCCACGCACACCCACGGAGGAGGCCGGGAAGACACATGCTCCCCCACGCACACCCATGGGGGCGGCCGGGCACTCACAGGCAGGCGGCTCCGCCCGAGGGCAGCTGGGTGCAGCGACCTCCATTCGCACACGGGCTTCCATCCAGGCAAGGGGGCGCTATGGGGGGAGTGGAGAAAGGTAAGGGGGGTTGAGTTAGCCAAGGCACGGAGGCACCCCAAACCAAAGCGACCGCCCGCCCTTCCTCCTTCTGTCTGTCTGTCTCTCTTCTCTGCCAGGCGACAGCTGCACTGGGGTGGAGGGGGGTCTCTGTGGGTGCACAGAGGCCACCCCCCCCATCTCCAGTTCCCACGGCTCCTCCGCCCTGGCTCCAGCTGCTGGGCTGCAGCTGTCCCTGGCCCTGCCAGCCTGAGCCCTGGGAACTAGAAGGCAGGGGTGGGAAGAGGGAGGGGCCGGCTGGGCCCAGATGTGGGGGCTCCAGGAAGTACAGGGTAGGGAGGAGATGGGGACCTAAGGCTCATCACAGTGGGGATCACTGGCGGCTCCCGCCTGTCATCCCAGCCACTCGGGAGGCTGCGATCTTGAGGACAGTAGTTTGAGGCCAGGAAGGCAGGAGCAGTAAACTGCATCCAACTAACTCTTTATCTCCAATTCACCAGCCAAAAAAAAAAAAAAAAAGGCTGGAAGTGAAGCTTTGGCTCAAGAGGTAGAGAGCTAGCCTGGAATTAAAATGAAAGCTGGGGGCTGGGAAGGAGCTCCATGGTAGAGCGAAGCCCTGGGTTCAATTCCTCAGTACCACAATCGCAGAAAAACTCAGAAGTGGCGCTGTGGCTCACATGGTAGAGCGCTAGCCTTGAAGCCCAGGGACAGAGACAGCGCCAGGCCGTGAGGTCAAGCCCCAGGACTGGGGGGGGGGGAAGCTCCCTGGACCCTGAATTCAAGCTTCAGGAGCAACGGGCACAAAAACAAACAAATAAATATAAATAAAGACAGGTCATCTTGGGACCGGGAATGCTGGGGTGCTGGGCAGGTGCCCCATCCAGGCCAGCCTCAGTGCCAACTTCTGGGAGAGCCGTGCCCCCAGGAGAGGGAGAGCAGCTAGGAGCGCCATCTTGGGGTGCAGCGCTGGGAGGGAGGGGCAGCCCGCCTAGCCCGGAGCTTCCCCGTCCAGTGTGCCCATCCCCCCCGGGGGGAGGGGTAGTGCAGTGTAACTGTCCTGCCAGGCAGGAGGGGTGCGGCCACGTCTGAGCTGGTGAAGGGCTGTGGGTGGGTGTGAGGCTGCCGTCTGTCAGAGACAGACAAGCAGACTCGAGACAGAGAAAAGAGGCAGAAGGACATAAAAGACTCGACACAGAGAGAGAGACAGAGACAGAGACAGAGAGATCCAGCATAGCTTGTGTCCCTTCCTCTTGAGGCAAGTGTGGACATTACAACCTGGATAAGCCTTTGGGTGTTTGTGAACACACTGAGGATGAGGAGTGAGCCCCATCAACCGTGGGCCATGGGACCCACACATGTGTGCATCCGCGTGTGTCTGCCATGTCCTCTGCAACAGTGTTATCTGAGAATAGGGCTGTGCGTGCACATTTGTGTCAGGCATGTCCTGGAGTCTGGCTGTACGTACATACACATGTGAGTGTCAGGCATGTCCTGGAGTCTAGCTGTGAGTGCATGCACACGCGTGTGTCAGGCATGTCCTGGAGTGTAGCTGTGTGCATGCACACGTGTGTGTCGGGCAATCCTGGAGTCCAGCTGTGTGCATGCACACGTGTGTGTCAGGCACGTCTTGGAGTCTAGCTGTGTGCATGCACACGTGTGTCAGGCATGTCCTGGAGTGTAGCTGTGTGCATGCACACGTGTGTCAGGCATGTCCTGGAGTGTAGCTGTGTGCATGCACACGTGTGTGTCGGGCAGTCCTGGAGTGTAGCTGTGTGCATGCACACGTGTGTGTCAGGCAATCCTGGAATCCAGCTGTGTGCATGCACACGTGTGTGTCAGGCACGTCTTGGAGTCTAGCTGTGTGCATGCACACGTGTGTGTCAGGCAGTCCTGGAGTCTAGCTCCACGTGTGCGTGTGCAGGCTGCGTGTGCACGGCCTTGGCGTGGACGCCTGGTGTGCGCGCGCACGTGTGTGGTGTGCTGTGAGCACGCGGGTGTGACAGTGCCCCCCCCCGCACCCCAGCCCGGG